ATGTTGTTTTTACTCTTATTATGTACATCCAGTTGTCCCTTTAACGTTTTCCTCTGCAATGGAAACTGTTCATCACCATCATCCCTCTCCACGCTTTGATCTCTGGCCGCTCCTGCGCATGCGCCTCCTCATTGGCTGCTCTGCACCGTCTGGAGGAAGTTGGATGCGCGCTCTCCTCGCAGCATCCAGAAGACACCTGGATAAATAAAATAAAAAATATATATAAAATCTGTTGCGATGGGGAGGATCAGGAAAAACCACTTTGGGATTTTGACTTTTTCCCTCATGGTGACTTTGGTCTGGACTCAAAAGTAAATTTTAATTCGCATCTTCTCCGCTGTTTTCGCATCGCTCCTGTTCATTCCTGCGATAACCATTTCCCCCCCTTCTTCTCTCCTTCTCCAGCGTGAAGGATATCAAAGATCCGAGCAACATGCCCCTGGTGAAGGAAACCGTGGACCGGCTGATGAAAGGATACGACATTCGGTTGAGGCCAGATTTCGGAGGTAACAGCGCAAAAATAATAAATAAATAAATAAAAATAGGTGTCATGTTTTTCACACCCTCCTGACGTGTCATACATGTTTAATGAGTCGCAAAAATCTGCTTTCATTTCCATCAGCTAATCATCCCTTCACAGTCAAATTGCCAATTATGGGGTCTGTAGAAACGGTGGTCTGATGAGAGGCTGTTAACGTGATCGATCCCCGCTCATCAATGTTTGATTACTCCGCTAAATAAACCGCAATTAACAAGATTTAGGAGGATCCTGGGTGTCAAACATGACGGTTTTTTTTAATCTTCTCCTTTCTGATGATGATGATGATGGTGGTGGTGGTGAGGATGATGATGATGATGATGCACCAGTCTCCTGGAGGTGCTGGCGTCACGGATCTGTTAAATTTACATGATGGCAGAATTATTCATGTCCCCTCCTTTCCTTTGGCAGGTGCTCCCGTGGCCGTGGGAATGAACATAGACATCGCCAGCATAGACATGGTCTCTGAAGTCAACATGGTAGGTGCATCTTTTAAAGCGTCTGCTGCCTTTTCAAAAAAGATATTTATTTTCTATTTGTTTTGCACCTGGCTCGGCTCGTGCACATGAAAGGCGGACCACCGGCTCCTGTGATTGAGGGGTTATGTCCTGAGAAAATGCACCCTCCTCTTCCTCCTCCAAAAAAAACACATCACCCTTCTGAGAATCCGCATTTGCAGCTCTTGGTGTTGCTGCAACATTTGAATTCAAAACACACACTCACTGGCGCACTCGGACGCACACTTTTGCAGCTGCGCGCGCCAAGAGCTGCCGGTGTGTGTGTTAGAGAGTAATTGGTTACATATGTGCGTGTGTGTGTGTGTGAGACTGTTCCAAATCATGGGTGTCGTTTTTGTTGACAATGACAAGAAAAAGAAAAACTTGCCCAATCCTCTCATCTGAAAGGGACATTCATTGGCCACTTTCAGCTACCCATCATCATCATCATCATCATCCTGTTCTACGTAAATGATCTTCCTCCTACAAATCATATGATGTAAGCAGTTTTTTCTTAAAGACTAATCTCACCGCTCTGAAAAAAAAGAGGGGTTCAGAGAGGAAACTGATAGAGAGGACAGAGGGGAGGAAAAGTTCAGCTTCATGACGGACAGATCAGACCGGCAGCAGGTGCACTCAGTGTCAGGTGGAAAATTATGTGTTTCTGAAAAGTTTAGAGCAAAAATATAAGAGGAAACATCATTAAGAGTCCCTCATGCTTTTATGTTAAACACTATAGAGGAGCTTTGATTGGACTTTGATTTTGCAGCTTGTCAACGTTGTAACAAAAAGTGATATTTACACATATATAGATGCATGTGACTCATCACATCAAACTGAATATTAAGTCAAATGTGGTCAAAATGAACTCAGCACATTTTCAGATTCATGCTTTTGAATTTTGATTCCTGGATCATCCTGATGTCCTGAGTGGATCCAGAGCTACGCCTTAATTTGTTTTCCTAATCAGGATAATTCATTGACATTTGGTCTATATGTTTATTCTAATGAGGACTTTTTGATGTCATTTTAAAGAAGAAACCTCAAGCAATGTTTTGATATTAAAATTTTCCAGCTGGGGGAAAAAAAAAACAGTTGCCATCTTGCAGGAAAATTTACAAAAAATGAAGGCTTTTCGTCTCAAAGTTATGTTTTTGTAGCTACTGCTTAAAAGACGATTTCATTTTTTTAAGATTATATTTGAGATATTTCATTTAAGCAAATATATAAGGTATTTTATTCATAAAATAGTGACAAAATGTAAACGTTTTAACCAAAACACGATAGGTGCCTATTTCTCCACATACGCCTCTTTGGGACTTAATCCTCTGTTTGGGTTACATATAACTCTAGTTTTATAGAAAAAAAGAAATTCTGTGAATTTCACAGTTTACAGATTTTCACTTTTTTTCCCCATTGGGCCTGGTTGTAGTAGTTTGCAGTAATCTTGTGGAAACCGGAAACACAGTACAGTAAGGAACGCCATATTTTCTCTCTTGCTTTTTTTTTTTTTTTTT